ACAGATAATGGAAGCAGTTAGCTTCCTCCCATAATTGGAGCTTACCAGGGGTTCTCTCTCTCTCTCTCTCTCTCTCTCTCTCTCTCTCTCTCTGTATGTATATATATGTGTGTATATATATATGTGTGTGTGTGTATATATATGTGTGTGTGTGTGTGTGTGTGTGTGTGTGTGTGTATATATATATATATATATATATATATATATATATGGAATGAAATGTATAATTCTGATGGTTCAAATTATTTCAAAACTTATCTAATTTTCTTAAATACATATAAATCGTTCTATGCTTAGATATCTGAATATTAAATACAAATGCTAAATACTATATTGTAGATTGTCATGTAATGCCTTTTAATTACAGAAATAAACCATACAGAAATAATGCCCCTTCTATAATTCTATAAATTATAATTCTATAATTTCTAATATTTTTGCCACCAAATCTAAGATCTTGCTTAAAAATTACATAAGAAATAATAATGTGAGTGAGCCATATTGTGACTGTTAAGAAGGTTAGGGTTCCGACTGGGACAGGCAGATAAATCTAGCGGGAGTATAGAACCCCAGGCCCAGGTGTTCTGTATTGTATTTGATAGTTAAAATTCTCTGGGGCTATAGAGAAGCTGGATAATTCCTCACTAGAGGAGAAATATAATTTCAATACATGGAGAAAGCAAGGGGTGACGTTGGTGCTTCTTCTGCCTGTTTCCAAGGAGCTGTCCCAATTTTAATTGATAAGGGTGTGGTTTTGTGTGTGTTGAATACTTCTGTTTCCAGAAAAAAAATTGAAGACAATGCTGACTTAATGTTTAATATTTTGGTATTAGTTGTATTGCTTAGTTAGGATTATAATACCATTTGATTGCTTTTCAGTCAGATCTAAGATCTCTTTGAATCCACATTGTCAGTTATTTCATTTCCTCACCTTCACACACTGCACTTCATTATACATTTTAGATAGTCCTAAAAAAGAAAATGGCAAATGTAATGTCTTTGGCTATCATAAAGCAAATGGGGCAGAAGTGAAAAAGAAATAAAATAATGAGCCACTTGTGACAAGAAATAATGGGATTTCATGATTCAGCACAAAGGAAGTAGAATGAACAAAGGGACATAGACATCTAAAGTCTCTTCATAAGTGGAATCCGGGAAGGCCAGTTAACAACTAAAATGGTTTCCTGTAAAAAAATAAGAAAAAAAAACCTGCTAAAAATGGTTTCCTGTGAGGACATTTTAATAATCAAATGCTATATAGATTTTGCAAACAAATATCCCTCTGTGAAATGTTTCATACCAAGATAAAAAAAGGAGTTAACTCACTGAGGTTTCATCTCTGGACAATAAAATGAATAATAATGATAAAATGAATAACATAGTACATATTATAGAACCAAATTCACACTTCAATCTTAGAAGGTCATTAGCATACCTATGATTTGAACTTAAATGAGAGAGAATGTTTGGAGAAGAAAAATAATGAGACTTAATAACAGCTGAACTGTTTTTAGAGGGCAGAGATTTCCCTACAATTTGTTAGCTAGGGAGGAAATTAAAATGGAAAGTCTGACAAAAAGTATTATTCTTGTACGTACTATTCTTTGGGAAATAGCTGAACTACTGAAGGGAAGGGGGAAGTATAGGATAGGAAAATTACAAAAAGTGTAACCAAGTAATTGATTTGAGTTCAATTGAACTGTCACAGGGTGATCCTTTATTGACAAAGGTACAGTGGAAAGAAGAGAACCAAATTGATGTAATGGTTAAGATACTATAGTAGACTAGCAATTGTGAGATCATGATTTCTTGCCTTAGACACGAAGCCAACTGGGTGACTTTGAGCCAATCATTTTCTCAGCCCTAGGAAGTTGCCAAAAACCTTGCCAGGAGAACTGCGGGGATTTGTTCAGGCACTTGCCGAGGGTGGGTGTATAGTTTAAAGACTGAGTTGGTGATGCATAAGAAAGAAATATGTATGTGAAAATAAAATTTTATTATCTCCTGTAGCCGAAATTAATTAGGAAATTGATGTAATATTGCATTTCTTTTACTTCAGCAATAATCAGTTACAATTATATGCCTACGAAACACTACTTCCTTACACATCAATGTAGTAAACTAATTAGGATATTTAATTACTTGATTAGCAAATTTAATTCTGTAACTATCAAAACAAATATATTTTCATCAGTTGGTTTGTTTTTTGCTTGGTTTTTTGGGTGGGGGAGAGACATTCTGTTTTCGTCCTACTTTTTTTGACAACTGGAAAATTAAAGTTCATTCTAATGGAATAATAGCAGTTTTATGTATTTCAGTCCAGTCACAAATAAATCATGTTAAATTAAGAAAAAGAAAGAAAAAGAATTCAAATTTTGACCACTAAAAATGTACTCTCTGGCTTAACCCCTAAAATGATTTCATAGAAAAAGAATTCACAATTAGGTATGTGCAAGCTTTAAGTAAGTGGCATTTTTGGAAAGCTTTGAAGCAACACAACTTCATAACTGCAGACCAAAAAAAGAAGTGTTGCAGAGCTGAAAATACTGACAACTAGCCAAGAAAGTGCTTCCAAGGAAATCCATATTTTTCATAAGCATCTATAAAAAGCAACTATGACAGGTCAAATGAAGGGTGTACATTGAGATGTCAAAACAACATAACTCAAGGATGAAGGAATAAAATGACCAGGGAAGTAGTAATGTACCGGTACTAACTGAATTAACAACGCTTGCAACTCAATAGTTCATATAGAGAATCCATGATAATGTTGGGTAGGTCTTCAGCTAAGAAAAAGACAACCAGATTGAACCAGATTGAATATTCCAGCTCAAGATATTTACTTTTCCGTCTAATTTTGAACATTACATTAATAGAAAAATTTAAAATTATACCAGGTCTTTGAGTACATTGCAGTAAAAGTGACTGGTTGTTTTAGCACTTTGAAGCTTTTGAGCTTGTATTTTTCAGGCTAAAAGTACAGCCATTCCATTGCTGTAGCCCTGAATGAATAAATATTTCTTTTTTGCCCCTTTTCCTCTGTCTTTCTTTCTTACTGAATTACCAGAAACCTTTAAAGGATCATTAGGTCAGAACAAAGCTAAAAGAGTAGTAATATTTTTTTTCCAATTTACTGATATTTAATGAGAGAATAAATATCTTGACAACATGACCGAACAAACTTTAGCTACTTCCTGGATGAAGTAATTGCATAGAATATTTCTGCTTGAAAATTTTATTGATCAGATACAAATCTTTCCAAAAGAAAGAACAGAAAATACATTTGTCTGTTGCATATAAGAAAGCTGATGCTACAAGTAGAGAGAGTAAAACCAGTGCTTTAGATTCCTGTTTCTTAACACTTTAAAAGGGCAATACACGATTAATTATTGAATGTATCATAGGTCTATTTTCAGTACTAGGGAGGGAGTGCTTCTGACTGTGTACTCTTTTCCTTTGTTCGGGAAGGACGTGGTTTCATTTACTTGCAATAGCTTTGCCCTAAAAAGTAAGGGTGAACCAAGAGAGATTGCAGAATACCTATTATGTACCAGACTATTATAATTCAAGTATTTAATTTTTTTGTTTGATTTTTTTAAAAAAATCTAAGCAGTAGCATCAATGTTGAAATAAACCCATTGGCATAAACTTTGATCTCAAAGCCTATTTAAAGAAAAGTTCTGACAGAACTGAAAGTGTTCAAGGTAGTAAATTCTTATAGGTAGTCCTTGGGTTATGATCCTTTGTTTAGTGATTGTTAAAAGTTACACAGTGCTGAACAATGGAGATTTGTGACCGGCCCTCAAATTTGCCATTGCGGTTTCATAACAACTTGGGTGCTTAGCAACCAGCTTGCAATTATGATGGTTGCAGTATTCCAAGATCACATGATCATCATTTATAACCCTTCCTTCTGGCCTTCCAGAAGCAAAGTCCATAGGGAAACTGGCAGAAGATCGCAAGTTGCCCACACCACTTTTTTGCGTGGCAACACAGGCTCTGTAGTGCGTGTGGCATGCTCTCCTATGGTACCTGCCCATACTTCTTAGCAACTGCCCCCCTCCCCGGTGCTCCATAGCACTTGTCCGCAGCACCCACCCACTCATGCTCTGTACTGCCTGTCCCAACTCTAGCACTCTCCCATTTGTAGCACTTCCCCAACCAACTTGTTTGTCTGGGCCCTCGTGGTCATGTGAGGTGCTCACTGCCCAGTCCTGGGGTTACAACAGCAACCAGAACTGTTCGGATTGCAAACACTAAGCACTGCAGTCATGTTACTTTGCACTTCACAACCATATTACTTAGCAGTGGAAATTTTGATCCCCATTGACATGATAACCCAAGGACAACCTGTAATGTAGATGCCCTGTTGAAAATGGTGAATTCTTTATATGTTTATATGTTTGTCAGGTTTCTCTGAAAGTTGGCATACTTGGAGCAGAGGCTCATCTAAGGACATTAATCCAATGGTGGTTCACCGACAAAAGGGCGACTGACAAAACCGCGCCCGACTAAACCGTGGTGACAAAACCGCGAGTTCTAAACCGCACCGACGAATGAGTGCTGAATCGCGCAGACAGAAGCGCGCTGTAAACCTAACACTAAATCTAACGCTAACCCTAAACCTAACCCTAAACCTAACTCTAAACCTAACCCTAAACCTAACGCTTACCTTAGCTTAAATCACGCTTCTGTCGACGCGCTGTTGTTGGCGCGCTGTTGTTGACGCGTTGATGATGATGTGGTTTTAGCGCCGCGGTTTTGTCGGCACATTTTTGTCGTGCGCGCATTTGTCAGGTCACGATCCAATGGTAACATATGACAAGAAAGTGTTCCTTATATTTGTCTAGTTTAGAGAGAAGAAGAATATAAAATATGAACTTTCAACTTCAAAAACTATTCCTTTCCCAAGCCATAAAACCTAGTGCATGTATTTATTCATTATTTTTATTTATTTATTTGTATCTCGCCTATATTATTTTTCTTATTTTATTTTTTTACAAGGCAGTGAACATATCCAACATACCTTACTCCTCTTGTATGATTCATTTATTTATTCTTTGGATTATTCACTGATAGCACCTGATAGTAAGATTAATTGTTCCATTAATCTTACTGCTGACTAAATTGCATTTTCTTATTTTTTTGAGCTTTGCATTTTAAAATTGACATTTTGACAAAACGCTATACTTTCACTAATAAAATCATTTTAACCATTGCATTTATACTACATGACTTCCTTCTCAGGCAATAGTACACAATGTAAAAATTAGTTTAACAGAATTTTAAAGTACTTTCCTAATAGATGTTTCTCCCTTAAATAGAAATTGAGAGCATTAAGTTGGCAAAGCAGCAGCACAAAGCGGAGGCAAAGAGGAAAGCAACTCCAGTTGTTGGAGATATGCATCCATTGATGAATGCTCTGCCTGAACTTTCAGATCTGGTGACAGTAAGCAAGTTCTGCAAACAGCGTAATACAGTGTAAGTGCTTTGAGTACTGTAATAGATGGTTCTGATTCCTCATTTAAGCAAACTCTGGCTTTATATAAGAAAGCTTCACTGTCTTAGGCTTTGCTTAGGTTCTAGTCACATAAAGTAAAAAAAAAACCCTCTCACTCAAGATTACAAATATAGGTTGTTGTACATTTTAGAATGTATGTATTTTACTGTCACTATACCACAATTTTCATTTGAATACAGTTACTTAAACGTGGTTTTTTTTTCCCTAAGATCATTTATATTTGAAGACACAACCACCTACTGGCATACTTTCGCGATCTCAATCAGTCAGCCATAACTTTACATCTTTATAACATATTCTAAAAGAAAGTCAGTTAAAAGGATATCTAACATTCCCTCTCCTTCCCCCCCCCCAAACTCACAAATTGACGCTTCTGTCCATTTTACTTTTACTAGTACAACACACCTGTATGTATCATTAAATATTATCCATTAACATTTCTTTGTTATTATTGTAGTTAACTAAAAATTATTTACTATTTATCTCACCTCTCCTCTTCCTCAGGCCCAAAAGAGATTGTACCTTTATAACCATCTCTAAACAGAAATTTATTAATAAGATTTATAGGTCTTTTCCCTAGGTTAATCTGGGTTAATTCCCAGATTAACCTGAATGAAATATATGTAATGATTGTGGAAGAAATGCACGAAATGTACCTGTAACCAATTGATAATCTTTCTGCAAGATGTAATGAAAGATGATTCTTTTTTTTCTTTTGTTTAATAAAAACAATAAAAAAAATTTTTTTAAAAAGATTACAAATATACTTATTTGTTAGCTCTTACTAAGGATGTGCTTTCAAAATTTTCTGATCCTTTGTTGACTGAAAGGATGTGAAGGTACACATACTTGCTTCAAAAGAGAAGGGCAAACTCTTAAAGGCATGTTTTAACTAAAATCAGGACTATCCTAACTAATGAAGGTTAAGATAAATATTTGTAAATAATTGAAAATGTGAAGCTTTAAGGTTTTTATTCCAGGAATGTATATCTACAGATCATTTTTCAATAAACTGGTTAATTTGTCTTAAAGTAAATTCTCAAACTTAATTTATATTTTTTTTTAAAAAAAATGTTTTTCCTTTGTGTAATTTAGCAGCTACTCAGTTGATAAGTCAGTAGATGCTTAAAGAATGGTAGAATGAGAAAAATGAGATTTCCAGGATATTTTCAAAGTTGGAAGTAACATGGTTCTTCCTGTCACAATAATGCTATTTATTTGGAATTCAAAATAGCACAGAATTGTTCAAAAGTGATGGATACTTTTTAGAAAACTAAACTATGGGCAGAGTGCATTAACCATTATTTTTGTTTTCTTAGGCAGAAGAAGAAGAAAGTGTTGACAAATTTCAACCAGATGAAATCAGCCCAGAAACGCAAAGTCTTGTAAGTATTGATAGGGAAAGAAGTCTCTTGAGCAATGACATCAAAATCTACTGTGTTACAATTGCAGAGAAATTCTGTGGTTCTGCTGTGGGAAAAGTAGCTGCACCCGGATATTGCCAGTGTGATGAAATTGTGCAGATTCCATTCTTAACCAGTAGCAAGACAATAGCAAAATAGCTGTAAAAATAAATTCAAAACTGATAGTATTTATACCGTCTCACATTCTCTAGCAATTTGTTGCTATCAAACCATCATGTAGCCCACTGACAGTATCCCTTATTGAGCAGTGCATTAAAAATACTAATACATGTTGACTAGTGATGTTCCTTTACTTGGCATTTAGTGTGCAGCATATACATGTAATGGTTCCTGCAATTTAATTCTGGTTTCTAACAAAAAATGCCCTTGAAGGAAACAGGTTCTTCTAGTGACTGCAGTGTTCACTTAACAACCACCACAAAAAAAGGTTGTAAAACTGGACACAGTCAAGTGTCGACCTGTGTAATGACTGCCATGACATATGACTAATTACAGGCTCAATTATGGTTGTAATTTGAGGACTATGTGTAGCCAAATTGGAAACAAATTGGGATAGTCTAGGTGATGTTTTGCTCTTAGAATGGTCTTCCCCAATCTTGTGCCCTCCAAGTACTTTGGATTTTAACTCCCATAATCTCCTGCCAACATTTGAACATATTCTGGTTGGGCTTTATTCAATATATCTGGAAAGCAAAAGGCAAAAGCTGCCATAGGGAAAAGAGCTTCTGCTCCTAAAAAATCAGTAGCAATTAATGGAAGGTATGCTGTACACATTTCTGCCCTCTACATCGCATCCCATTTGTTTTGGAGGGCTTTATAACCCTCAAAAGCATGTTGTTTCTGGGGAAATGGAATGATATGGCTATGGAAGAGATTCACAAAATCAGGCTCTCTAATTTAGCGGAAACAATTTCTGTAAAGAAGACACCAATGGGAGCTATTTTGTAAAAGTACATTAATATAACATTTTTTTTACAGACAGGACAGTGTGTGAGCTCAGCTGTTCCTTGTTAGTGTGACTTTAATTTTATTCTTTTATTATAAGAATATATGTTGAGAGCATTGGCAATAGAATTTATTTAAAATGTAATTCTTAGAGCTCTCTTCTTATGGATTACAGTATTCAGTGTACATATGCTATTCATTTGGTTATGTCAAGTTAGTCATATCTGAATACATTAATATATTGTAGTGAAATATTTTGCTTTACTAAAATATTGTGTATCCTTTGTTAGGAAATTTTTGCATCCCTTGCACTTCAGTCATCTCCCCCCCACCCCACCCCAATGTAATGCAAGCAAATTAATTGATACATTTCCCCCTTTTCTTCCCCCAGGGAAGAGGAAATGGCACAGTTTCACAAGACAATATCAAACCCTTTGTTCAAAGCCAACCCTCTGTCAATCATTAGTCAGCATCTTTCCAAAAGACTAAAACAGGAGAACGAGGAAGAACCACTTTAATACATGACCGAGGATGTTTGAAAATTCCAGCAATTGACTCCATCATGGTTTTATCTATACAGGTAGCTTAATGTAACCTTCAGAAACCGGACCCAGTAACTTTGTTTGCTGAGCACAGAAATAAGGTGATCGACATCAATTTGTGCACTATGAATACTAGTTACAACTCTGGATTGTTTTGTTGGAGACTTGTGGAACTCTGTAGATGTAAGACTGTTCTAATTTCCCAAATGTATCCTAATTATAGTTCAGGTCTTTTTATTTCCCCCTCTATAGCTTCTGTAATGTAATGTATAAATCACCAACTTTCTATTTCTGAGTAATGTAAACTTTTTTGTTTGTTTCTTTTTGTGAGCAGTTAAATAGCTGCCGTTAGAGCAGTGGTTCTCAACCTTTCCAATGCTGCGACCCTTTAATACAGGTCCCCATAAAATTGGTGTCTCGGTTTCTAAGACCATCGAAAATATGTGTTTTCCAATGGTCTTAGGCGACCCCTGTGAAAGGGTCGTTCGACCCTCAAAGGGGTCCCGACCCACAGGTTGAGAACCACTGCTTTAGAGAATTGTTTTGGTAATTGCAACATTGTTGTGATTAATAAAATACCTAGTGCTTTGCTCTGAAAATAGTCAAAATCACTTCTTTAAAATTTGAAATGTGATGACACACTTAAAGACCATACGTATTAGATGTCTACATTCAAGTTGGTTTATATGTATGTGTATGTATATTTGCACAAAGACATCAGTGTTTGTCCTGCATAATGCAGTTGTCCCCAATCTTTCCAGCTCCATGAGCCAGTAGTAGCTGCTGAGGGGAGGGCGAGGGGATGGTTTTGTGCACATGCACATTTGCACAAATTGGCAGTTTCTGTAACCCAGTTCCCAATGGGCCGTGGCCCAGTACCGGGCTACAGCCCAGAGGTTGGGTATCCCTGGCATAACAGACATGAAATTATCTACTGTAGCTGAAAATGGACATTACGTATAAACAGTTTATAAGATCTTGAAATTCAACAGTGGTCCCCAACCTTTTTGGCTCCAGGGACTGGTTTCATGGAAGACAGTTTTTCCACAAACTGGGGTGGTGAGGGAGCAGGAATGTGTAAGCTAGATCCCTTGCATACACAATTTACAGTAGCGTTCTATAACTCCTATGAGAATCTAAAGCCTGATTATCTGAGTTGGAGCTGAGGCAGTGATGCTAGTGCTGGGGAGCAGCTGCAAATACAAATTTTGCTCGTTTGCCAGCCTACTTCTCACCTCCAGCACTACAGCCCAGATCCTAACAGGCTACAGACCCCTGCTATAACATATAGAAATGCTTAAATCTTATCTAAAATAATGTCTGATCTATGTAAAAAGCTACAAAACTGTGACTTGAAGAAGCTATAAGCTAAATAATAAAAGACTTTTCAGCTCTTAAACCTGTTGGTCAGATCCTGTTCCTTGGCATAAAATAGCTGTGTTATGACGTAAAAAAGTCACCCAACAATAAGTGGGCATAAAATTTATTAATAGGGTCTTGAGAGTAATGAGTGGATGTGACTGGGGAATTGGGAGTTGGAATCCATAAGTCTTAAAGTTTTCAAGGTTGGACACTCTGAAAAAAAAGCAGTGGGCATATATAACTTCCTGCAGTCAAGTTATCTACATTTTGATACTTTGTGAGTGGTGCCTGTCTATGTCTAACAAAGCATCCATAATCAACATCTGGGTACTGTACTTAGTGACTGGTGTGTATTTTCGCTTGTGATGCAACATTATGATTTTTTTATTTGCTTTCCAAAAAAATGAAGAGAAGTCTCTCGCTCTTGCCCTGAAGAGCATTCAGAAATCTCTCAAAGCATTGCCCATAGCAGAAGAGTTAGCTTGCCCTTAGAAGATGTAATATGTTATACTGTATCCTAAGAAGTATGATCAAGTGTGACTTCGAAAAGATTCCTCTTTCCATCAGCATTATAGATTTCTTCAGGTAAACAGCTTGTTCTATCACTTTTCATTAGACAGAAAATTTGGATAATGCCTCATCATCTGATAACTGTCTCTATGTAACTCCACATTATGCAAATGTTTTCAAACCAACCTTTGCCATAAAAATGCTAGGTTCCCCATTTCTTATACTATAGTGACCACAAAATGTTCACACATTTCTTAATTTATTCATAGTTGTATAAATTCAATGGTGTTTTCTAGGTAAATACAACCTCAGAGGAACAAAACATGACATATTCCATCATGTCATCATTTATTTTACAAAAAAAAAAAAAGGCAAAATGGAGAAGTCACATGCAAAGAACTAAGTACACCTTAGCTTGTAGAACCATTCGCTTAATGACCACAATACTTAGCAATTGAAATTCTGGTCTCATTTGCAGTCATGGGTTGAGGACTATATAGTTAACTCAAATATATTGGATGATTATGAAAACTGGGTAATTTATTGTCTGAGCAACCACACTTGCCTTAACTGAAAGTGAAATAGACAGGCTGTTGATCAGCAGACTTGTTTAGTTTATGAAGTGCCCCTGGGAGGTAAACAGATCTGCCTGACCTTTTTGAGTTATTGGTGATCTTGGTGACTATTTTTCACAGCATTTTGTTGAACACCCCCCCCCCCAATACACACACACAATTGCAAGAATCCTACAATGAACACTTGTGAGGGCATCTGCACTCCTTTTTACTTATGGACTCTTATGAGAGGGTGTTATCTAACATTTCTCCTGCCACTTCTGGGCTAGATCCCTGAACTGTGGTAAGACTGCTACCCAGGGCTCCCCTCCACTGTTTAAACTTTCCCACAGCTCTACCACACCAACCATGCACATCCACAATGGTCCCAACTGTTCCGTGCTGGCTTGTCTCTGTGTGTAGGCGCCCACACTGCTCCTTAGTGTGGCAAAATGTTTAGCCTCGGACAGTGGCTGCTCCTGGTTCCGGCTCTCAGCTGGGCAGCGGCAACGGTTGTGAAGGCTCAGCAGCAGCCCTGAACCTGGACATCCCCTCTGTGCAGCCAAATGTGGGACGTGGGCAGTCTCTCCAATGTGGCCCACCCCACTGACACAAGATAAGTCATGCTCTTTTAATCTCTGGGCTTAGAATTGTGATGGAGCAGAGTTGAAATGCTCTCTGAAATTGCTGGAAAAGGTACATGTGGGTCGGAGGGAGGGGGAGGAATTCAAACTTCATCCTCAAGTGTAGATCCCTC